GATCCCAAAAGCTAAAGTAGTGTTTTTCCATTTAGAAGCTCCAAAACCGAATACTCATAGGATTTCGGCCACACCCACAAAAATTTGAGAATAAATAAAAAGCTTTATTAGTGTTGTTGGAGTCAAATATGACTAGACGTCATGTTTATGATTGGGTATAAGAACTAGAACCGCAACTGGATCCCAAAAGCTAAAGTAGTGTTTTTCCGTTTAGAAGCTCCAAATCCGAAAACTCATAGGACTTCGGCCACACCCACAAAGATTTGAGAAGCAATAAGAAGCTTGGTTAGTGTTTTTTGAGTCAAATGTGACTAGATCTCGTGTTTATGATTAGGTATAAGAACTAGAAACGCAACCGGATCCCGTAAGCTAAAGTAGTGTTTTTCCGTTTAGAAGCTCCAAAACCGAAAACTCATAGGACTTCGGCCACACCCACAAAGATTTGAGAAGCAATAAGAAGCTTAGTTAGTGTTTTTGGAGTCAAATGTGACTAGATCTCGTGTTTATGATTAGGTATAAGAACTAGAAATGCAACCGGATCCCGTAAGCTAAAGTAGTGTTTTTTCCGTTTAGAAGCTCCAAAACCGAAAACTCATAGGACTTCGGCCACACCCACAAAGATTTGAGAAGAAATATGATGCTTGGTTAGTGTTTTTGGAGTCAAATATGACTAGATCTCGTGTTTTTGATTGGGTATAAGAACTAGAACCGCAACCGGATCCCGTAAACTAAAGCAGTGTTTTTTCCGTTTAGAAGCTCCAAAACCAAAAACTCATAAGACTTCGGCCACACCCACAAATATTTGAGAAGCAATAAGAAGCTTTGTTAGTGTTTTAAGAGTGAAATATGACAAGATCTCGTGTTTATGATTGGGTATAAGAACTAGAACCGCAACCGGATCCCAAAAGCTAAATTAGTGTTTTTTCAGTTTAGAAGCTCCAAAACCGAAAAGTCATAAGACTTCGGCCACACCCACAAAGATTTGAGAAGCAATAAGAAGCTTGGTTAGTGTTTTTGGAGTCAAATATGACTAGATCTCGTGTTTATGATTGAGTATAAGAACTAGAACCGCAACTGGATCCCAAAAGCTAAAGTAGTGTTTTTCCATTTAGAAGCTCCAAAACCGAATACTCATAGGACTTCGGCCACACCCACAAAAATTTGAGAAGAAATAAGAAGCTTTATTAGTGTTGTTGGAGTCAAATATGACTAGACGTCATGTTTATGATTGGGTATAAGAACTAGAACCGCAACTGGATCCCAAAAGCTAAAGTAGTGTTTTTCCGTTTAGAAGCTCCAAATCCGAAAAGTCATAGGACTTCGGCCACACCCACAAAGATTTGAGAAGCAATAGGAAGCTTGGTTAGTGTTTTTGGAGTCAAATGTGACTAGATCTCGTGTTTATGATTAGGTATAAGAACTAGAAACGCAACCGGATCCCGTAAGCTAAAGTAGTGTTTTTCCGTTTAGAAGCTCCAAAACCGAAAACTCATAGGACTTCGGCCACACCCACAAAGATTTGAGAAGCAATAAGAAGCTTGGTTAGTGTTTTTGGAGTCAAATGTGACTAGATCTCGTGTTTATGATTAGGTATAAGAACTAGAAACGCAACCGGATCCCGTAAGCTAAAGTAGTGTTTTTCCGTTTAGAAGCTCCAAAACCGAAAACTCATAGGACTTCGGCCACACCCACAAAGATTTGAGAAGCAATAAGAAGCTTGGTTAGTGTTTTTGGAGTCAAATGTGACTAGATCTCGTGTTTATGATTAGGTATAAGAACTAGAAATGCAACCGGATCCCGTAAGCTAAAGTAGTGTTTTTCCGTTTAGAAGCTCCAAAACTGAAAACTCATAGGACTTCGGCCACACCCACAAAGATTTGAGAAGCAGTAAGAAGCTTGGTTAGTGTTTTTGGAGTCAAATGTGACTAGATCTCGTGTTTATGATTAGGTATAAGAACTAGAAATGCAACCGGATCCCGTAAGGTAAAGTAGTGTTTTTCCGTTTAGAAGCTCCAAAACCGAAAACTCATAGGACTTCGGCCACACCCACAAAGATTTGAGAAGCAATAAGATGCTTGGTTAGTGTTTTTGGAGTCAAATATGACTAGATCTCGTGTTTATGATTGGGTATAAGAACTAGAACCGCAACCGGACACTACAGGAAATGAGGGTTTTAATAGGTTAGCAAAATCGCTATTGTATCCTGAAATAGCATTGTAGAAAGCTCTATGTCTGCGCCCGTTATAGTAGGTCCCACACTTTATATAGAGTTTTTTGCTAGTGCTATAGAAACCGTAAGTAATATAGCGTTGTCATTTCTGCTATAAGTAAATTTTCAATAGCGTCGGGTATAAGCTATTTATATATGTTTCTTATAGCAGTTTTATTTATTTATAATAGCAGTCCTGATATGTAATAATTGATGTACCTCGAGGGGAGTTGGCCAACAGGGATAGCATTTTATTTTCTATACAGATAGCGTTTTTGTAAGAATACATGTATTATACATGTATACATACGTGTAAATATTACATGTATTATACATGTATACATACGTGTAAATTATACATGTATACATACGTGTAATAATACATGTATTATACATTTAAACATACGTAATGATCATACGTATATGTATGATATGTGTAATATATAGTATGATTTTTTTGGAAATACAGTATTTGTACAAATTATTGTACTGTAGTTTTATTTTGTTTGAAGTAGAAGGATATAGAATACAAAATTCAGAATTTGCAATAATTTGATATTAAATCTTGTTTTGATGGGCCTAAATAAAAAACAAAATCAAAAAGTACAAGATATTAATTGGGTCTAAATAGGCCCTATAACTAATTTGTCTTTAAGCCCATATCATTAGCCCTAACGTCCAAGACTTCGATGATTTGTCTTTAAGCCCATATCATTAGCCCTATTCATGTTAGAAACTGAAGATGTTAATGTCAAATATTTTTCTGATTAATTGTTTTGAATGAGAATGAGTTAAGAAAAGCAAAACCTTTCAAGTTGTGTCCATGATGCATGACTAGCTCATCACTCTAACCTGGTCGACAAGAGAAATAAAGACAGCATCTTAAATTATTTTACATTCACCATTTTCGGGCTAATCCAAACAATAAGAATGCATAATACACGCTATGGAGACAAAACACTTATGCAAGGAACAAAACCGTAAAATGCAATAACAATGCAAGTTTGAAGACACTTATGCAATAACAATGCAGGTTACAATTAACAGAATTATAACTTCTGAATTAGGTCTCCAAACACTTATGCAATGAACAAAACCCTTATGCAAAAGAGAATCATACAACCGATACACAAAAGAGAATCAATGAAACCTTAATCAATCATTCAACCTAAGCATTCAGTCGGATCTTACCGATTCAGAGAACCAAATTTAACTAATAAAAACCTAATCATTCAGTCGCATGTTATCACTATGCTTCTAATCAAACTTAATCCAAAGAATCAAAGAACGTAACTCAAACAATAAAAATTATCCGAAAGGATGAAGAGAGTACTACCTGGAGATTGATTAACTGATTGCAGATCTTCTATTACCTGGAACAACAACGAAATTAATCAATTTAAGAATTGACTAATCTAAATATGAGGAAAAAGGGAGAAGCTTTGGTTACAGATCTTGAAGTTTCTTGCTGCTTGTCGAAGGCAAATGAACGGTTGGAGGAAAGAAAGAGAATCCTCGTCGGATGCGAGAACGGTTGGAGGAAACTGGATCTTTATTTTGGAGGCTGAATAAAGTTGAAATTTAGAGGAAAGAATCAGAAAATTTGGAGGCTGAATAGAGATGAAACGAATAAGACCTAACTCTCTCGTTTCTTCTGTTGACAAATAAAAAAAATAATTCTGATTTAAAAGTCGAGAATGAGATGAAACGGGCTGATCAAAGGCTTAGATATCGCCACGTCATGTATCCGAGTGATGCATATTGATTGGATCGTTTATGAAAGCTTCAACAAGAGATTCAGATGTCATGAGGAACGGCTGAGATTTCGCCACGTCATCGATCCAAGTGAATAATTATAAGTGGCTATTTTATTTGAAGACATAAAAATATATTTTACATGCCATTTTGCAATTTTAAAATTTTAAAAAAATTATATATTGACAGATTAATGTGTTTATGAGTTATTTAAATTTTTTGATATTTTTTAAAAATTGATTAAAAATATTTGAAACGTTTTTAGAAATTTTTATGGTATTCCATATTGTTACCTAAGAAAACATGTACACTAATCTTCTTATTGTGTAAATCAAATTGTTGAAACATAATAATATTTGTTATAATCAATAAACTTATTGAATTATAACTACATATGTTATTTTTTTATAAAATTAGTATTAGCTACTATTGAAAACTATCATAAACCTAAACCCTAAACTCTATACCCTAAACCCTATACCCTATACCCTAAACTCTTAAATTGTTGTTTTTTAAATGTATCTATTTAATATTTATATAATTACTATATTATAATTAATTATTTATGTTATAATTAAGTATTTATTATTAGCTACTAACATAATTCTATACCCTAAACCCTAAATTCTATACCCTAAAGACTATTCCCTAAACTCTTAATTTTTGTTTTTGAACTGTATATATATTATTTATATAATTATTATGTTATAATTTAGTATTTATCTCATTTATTATTTTTAAAAGCCCATTAATTCGATTTTATTTTTTAAATAATCACAATAAATTCTAATTTTTTAACAAAAGCATTAACTCGATTTTTTAATATTTATTTAAAAAGTCTGTGTATTTTTGCATGCATTTTCAATTTATTTGCATGAATTTATATATTTAATTTTTAATTGTTACAATGCATTAATATTGTAGTTAATAAATAAATATATTAATACCAAACTTTCATAACTTAATAATATCTGAAAGTAGTGCATTCAACAAGAACAAAAGAAACTTTAACAAGTCAACAATCTAAAAAGTTAAATAAGTCACACATACACAATCTTGTCATTAGGCCAAACCACTAGTGTACCTATTGCATCAGATATGAATTTCACTTCTGAACTTGGTCTCCATACTTTTGCATCATCAATCTTTGAAACGTCAACCCAGACCTTGCTAGCATTGGGACCTATGGGTTTGAAATGCAGTAAAGCTGCAGGATCAGTGGAACAAACTCTGCCCTCTGCAACAGTTTTACCAGAGTTTTTGCAATCCAAGAGGATGCACTTCTTCTTTACTCCTTTGCTGGAACCAGAGTTGGTACTTGTATTCTACCACAACAATAACATATTCATCAGATATTCATCATTAACTACAATACACATGCATCAAAACAACACCAAAACTTACCCAGGAGATTTCCTCACTGAATCATCCCCTGCATTTTGAGTGATGATTTCTATCTTATTAATTGGCCATGGGACTTCTTGATCGAGTGCATCAGAGATCACAAGTACTGTAGCTGATGGCCTCCACACATAAGACGCAGCCTTCACAATAAGGTCAATCTTCACAATGGCAGCATTTTTACCAAGGGGAATGTTGTCGACCATTTGGGCAGGATCAGTGGAACATAAAACACCCTCAGCAATAACTTCACCATGAGAATTCCAATCAAAAACTTTGCATCTTTGAATTGACTCATTTGATATTGTCTCCTAAGTGATTCATATATATTAGCATCTACAATTTAGCTTCCAAGGTGTGAAAATAAAGTAATTAAAGTCTATAAAGATTACCTTGGAATCAGAAGTTCTATTTGGACTTTTTGGGTAGTTGTCATCCAAAATCACCTTATCAGCTTGCCAAGGAATTTTGAGTCCCACAGCTTCCCCAAGTGAGAACATGGTTGGGGTAGGCCTCCACAATGGTGAATCTTTGTCTGTTACAGATTTGACAACAACAGCTGCCACATTGGGACCAAGTGGAATGCGACCAATCTTGTATGCTGGATCAGCAGAGCAGAATTCTCCTTCCCCGACAATAACATCTTCTGTTGAACCCCATTCAAGCAGCTGACACCTAACCCCTCTACTGACATCACTAACCTCAGATTGAGCTCCCATAGTTTCAGAGTGTTTCTGACCAGAAGATAGAGAATTGTTAGTTAATTGTGCTTCTTCAAATGGCCTCATATATAGAAAAATTAGCACACTTACCCTTTTTCCAGCTAAGTCATTGACTACACTTTTCAGGTCTAGAATCTGGCTAAGCAATTCGGCTTGTTTTGCTTCAAGATTTTGCACATGTGTGTCTCTAGCCTGTAGGAATGCTAGTTTGGTTGCAGTAATCCCTCTTCCCAAACCTCTAATTCTCCCAGGTCTATCTTTCCCCAAAACTTGACTGACATCATCTTCACTTATGTTATCATTGGCTGTGGACTCCATTTGACTATCGATTGTTTTTATTTGTTCCTGAGACACATATATATATATATATATATATATATATATATATATCAACCAATAATGTCTAATCTTTTGTAATGAAAACAAGAGTACAATTTGGTAAGTTCTTACAATAGTCTCTACGAATTCAGGCTTCACAGGTCTTCCATCCTTGTGAGTGTGTCCTGCTATCCATACCTTACTTCGAGTCACCTTTTTTGGGTCTGAACTCTTTTTTTTCTACAAGTAGTACTAACATAAGTGATACAACATATGCTTATTCTATATATACAGATAAAAAAATCAACCAAAAGACACTAACCAAATCTATAAATACAGAGAAAGACACAATACAAATCTATAAATACAGAGAAAGATACTAACCAAATCATGTGCCAGTCGAAACATTCCTTTGCGGCTAGTGGTGTGTGGAATCTGAGCCCTCCTCAAGTTCCTGTATCTCTCACTTTTCTCCTACAAAATCAATCCACAACCAGACATACATGTATTTAATCTGCTCAGTTAATACATTTATCACAGACTATTTGATAAATAAAACAAGAGTGCACCTTAAACTCTGTACTAGTCTTGCTCTTAACCCAATTGTTCCACTTCCCAAGAGATTGGATGTTGCTTGGTTTAAGCCTTAATCGCTCTGCGTGACTTCCCGCCGCTCGAATTTGGCCCACAAGTTTAGATTTAGATGCCCTCCACACACAACCCATCTGCTTAAGAACAGCATGTTTTTGCCTCCCCTATAATAAATGTGAGGTTACATGACAGTGATACAAAGTAATGAATGAGAAATATTGAAGATAAAAAACACTTTACCTGAATTTCCTCCCACATTGTGTCCTTTGTTTGTTCATCGAGTTTCCTCCAATCATCGAGTAGTACTGTAACATGCTCCCTCACCAGAGGACCAAGGAATGATGAAAGTGTTACTGATCCAGAACCGCAATGTTCACCAAGGGAAGTAAAATCTACCTCAACCTTCGAAAGCGGGTCTTTTGCGACTTTACGCATTTTTGTCTGTCCCCTAGTTCTCTTTGTGGTCGAGTTAGACTTCTGGGGTGAGCCTCCTCCAGTGGAAGCATCCACAGTTTCACCTTCAGCAGGCTGGGAAGGTTCTCCACCTCCAGCAGGCTGGGATTGTTCTCCACCTTCAGCAGGTTCTTGATCATTTTCTCCATCAACTCCACAACAAAGCTCTAAGTGTAAACTTCTCTTTCATAAAGGAGTCATAAACCTCCATACCTTCATTCCATAAATCTATCAAATCCTCTATCAGCGGTGCTAGATAAACATCGATGTTGTTGCTTGGTGCAGTTGGACCAGGGATCAGCAGCGTCAACATGATGTTCTCGGCCTTCATACACATGGTTGGAGGCGTGTTGTAGTTGACTAATAAGACTGGCCATGTACTGTATTTGGTATTCTGCATAGAGAAAGGGTTCATTCCATCTGTAGATAAACCGAGTCTTAGGTTTCTCGGTTCTGCAGCAAACTCTGGCCACTTATTATTGACCCGTGCCCATGTAATAGAATCCACTGGATGTCGCATTATACCATCTTCACTACCATTGTTGAAATGCCAACGCAAATCCTCAGCCATTCTTTTTGATCTAAACATCCTTTTCAATCTGTCCTTGATTGGAAAATAACGAAGGACCTTTGCTGGAATCCCCTTCTTTTCCTCACCACTTCGTTTATCAATATGGGTCATGTCCCCATGCTTACTCCAACATGGATTCCTCTTGTACTTCAAATCCATACCCCTAATCACTAGATGATCCAATACAGTCTCTATCAACTGATGACAAACATTTCTACAATCGACGCAGGGACAGAACATCTCTGTAGGATTACCCAAATTACTTGATGCTCCAGAAACAAAATTCCTAGCACCAATCTCATACTCAAGGCTATTCCTAAGGTACGAAAAAAAAACAAAGATTAGTATCACAATTGAAACCATCTATGAAAATATCAGACAGTTGCATACCTTGGAAGCCAAGCCCATGCCTTGTCCATTTCACACCAATACGACCCAAGCTCCACCACCAATTATACATACATTTGTGATAATAACTTTAATTAATGATCAAACACTCACATAACTTGTCTATTCAGTCAATAAAACAACATCTGACACAAAATGAAGAACAAAAAAAGATAGAAATAAAATCTTACACGAGTAGACAAGAAGTTTCAAGACTAGGAATCAAGATTCTGCAAAGATAAAAGGAGATGAAGTCTTAGAATCAGTACAAAACAATTCATTTAGGAACAGCTACAGACCCGTAATTACCTTGTAGTTCTTGTACTGAAATCTCTACGCAATTCTACAGAGCCGCAGATCCAACTACACATCAGAAATAACATCGATTCAACTCAGACAAACATCAATCCACAAACACAAATCGAATACATCAATCGAAAAGATCAATCGACAAAACCCAAACTCACATAAGAAAAATCGATTCAACTCACATAAGAAAAAACGATTCAACTCACAGTTATTTGAAAAACAACAAAAACGGATCAAACCCATGAAATATTAACAAAATCAATGCGAATAACCCATGAAGAACCCATGAAATCGATCGATTTACCTTCTGTATCAATTTACACCTAACCAAATTGATTTCGAATGAGATCGAGATCCAGAGGGATTTCGACAGAGAATGATTCAGACAGAGAAGGATTTAGAATGCGAGGGATCGAGAGAGTGGAACAGACAAGGAATCGAGTTTCAGATAGGGTTTCAAGATGAGAGAGAGGAATGTCGGGTTTGAGAGAGGAAGACGAGAGAAGAGAGAGTAATGAAATTAAAAACCTAATCTTTTTTTTCTTTCTCTATCTTTATTTTTCGTTTTGGTACTTAGTGAAATTTTTGGAGCCAATGAAATTTTTGTTTCCCGCTTTAACATATAATAACGTTTATGCTATTATAGACCAAAGGAAAAAGCGCCACAACGAAATGTTTTTCGCGCTCATCCTACCATAGCGTTTCTATTTTCGAAAACGCTATTAATAGTTTCACAAAATTAATCTATAGCAGAAACATATAAAACGCTATAGTGTACTGCTATTAATACCCTCATTTCCTGTAGTGGGATCCCTTAAACTAAAGTAGTGTTTTTCCGTTTAGAAGCTCCAAAACCGAAAACTCATAAGACTTCGGCCACACCCACAAATATTTGAGAATCAATAAGAAGCTTTGTTAGTGTTTTAAGAGTGAAATACGATAAGATCTCGTGTTTATGATTGGGTATAAGAACTAGAACCGCAACCGGATCCCAAAAGCTAAATTAGTGTTTTTCAGTTTAGAAGCTCCAAAACCGAAAAGTCATAAGACTTCGGCCACACCCACAAAGATTTGAGAAGCAATAAGAAGCTTGGTTAGTGTTTTTGGAGTCAAATATGACTAGATCTCGTGTTTATGATTGAGTATAATAACTAGAACCGCAATTGGATCCCAAAAGCTAAAGTAGTGTTTTTCCATTTAGAAGCTCCAAAACCGAATACTCATAGGACTTCAACCACACCCACAAAAATTTGAGAAGAAATAAGAAGCTTTATTAGTGTTGTTGGAGTCAAATATGACTAGACGTCATGTTTATGATTGGGTATAAGAACTAGAACCGCAACTGGATCCCAAAAGCTAAAGTAGTGTTTTTCCGTTTAGAAGCTCCAAATCCGAAAAGTCATAGGACTTCGGCCACACCCACAAAGATTTGAGAAGCAATAAGAAGCTTGGTTAGTGTTTTTGGAGTCAAATGTGACTAGATCTCGTGTTTATGATTAGGTATAAGAACTAGAAACGCAACCGGATCCCGTAAGCTAAAGTAGTGTTTTTCCGTTTAGAAGCTCCAAAACCGAAAACTCATAGGACTTCGGCCACACCCACAAAGATTTGAGAAGCAATAAGAAGCTTGGTTAGTGTTTTTGGAGTCAAATGTGACTAGATCTCGTGTTTATGATTAGGTATAAGAACTAGAAACTGCAACCGGATCCCGTAAGCTAAAGTAGTGTTTTTCCGTTTAGAAGCTCCAAAACCGAAAACTCATAGGACTTCGGCCACACCCACAAAGATTTGAGAAGCAATAAGATGCTTGGTTAGTGTTTTTGGATTCAAATATGACTAGATCTCGTGTTTTTGATTGGGTATAAGAACTAGAACCGCAACCGGATCCCGTAAACTAAAGCAGTGTTTTTCCGTTTAGAAGCTCCAAAACCAAAAACTCATAAGACTTCGGCCACACCCACAAATATTTGAGAAGCAATAAGAAGCTTTGTTAGTGTTTTAAGAGTGAAATATGACAAGATCTCGTGTTTATGATTGGGTATAAGAACTAGAACCGCAACCGGATCCCAAAAGCTAAATTAGTGTTTTTCAGTTTAGAAGCTCCAAAACCGAAAAGTCATAAGACTTCGGCCACACCCACAAAGATTTGAGAAGCAATAAGAAGCTTGGTTAGTGTTTTTGGAGTCAAATATGACTAGATCTCGTGTTTATGATTGAGTATAAGAACTAGAACCGCAACTGGATCCCAAAAGCTAAAGTAGTGTTTTTCCATTTAGAAGCTCCAAAACCGAATACTCATAGGACTTCGGCCACACCCACAAAAATTTGAGAAGAAATAAGAAGCTTTATTAGTGTTGTTGGAGTCAAATATGACTAGACGTCATGTTTAGGATTGGGTATAAGAACTAGAACCGCAACTGGATCCCAAAAGCTAAAGTAGTGTTTTTCCGTTTAGAAGCTCCAAATCCGAAAAGTCATAGGACTTCGGCCACACCCACAAAGATTTGAGAAGCAATAAGAAGCTTGGTTAGTGTTTTTGGAGTCAAATGTGACTAGATCTCGTGTTTATGATTAGGTATAAGAACTAGAAACGCAACCGGATCCCGTAAGCTAAAGTAGTGTTTTTCCGTTTAGAAGCTCCAAAATCGAAAACTCATAGGACTTCGGCCACACCCACAAAGATTTGAGAAGCAATAAGAAGCTTGGTTAGTGTTTTTGGAGTCAAATGTGACTAGATCTCGTGTTTATGATTAGGTATAAGAACTAGAAACGCAACCGGATCCCGTAAGCTAAAGTAGTGTTTTTCCGTTTAGAAGCTCCAAAACCGAAAACTCATAGGACTTCGGCCACACCCACAAAGATTTGAGAAGCAATAAGAAGCTTGGTTAGTGTTTTTGGAGTCAAATGTGACTAGATCTCGTGTTTATGATTAGGTATAAGAACTAGAAACTGCAACCGGATCCCGTAAGCTAAAGTAGTGTTTTTCCGTTTAGAAGCTCCAAAACCGAAAACTCATAGGACTTCGGCCACACCCACAAAGATTTGAGAAGCAATAAGATGCTTGGTTAGTGTTTTTGGATTCAAATATGACTAGATCTCGTGTTTATGATTGGGTATAAGAACTAGAACCGCAACCGGATCCCTTAAACTAAAGTAGTGTTTTTCCGTTTAGAAGCTCCAAAACCGAAAACTCATAAGACTTCGGCCACACCCACAAATATTTGAGAAGCAATAAGAAGCTTTGTTAGTGTTTTAAGAGTGAAATATGACTAAGATCTCGTGTTTATGATTGGGTATAAGAACTAGAACCGCAACCGGATCCCAAAAGCTAAATTAGTGTTTTTCAGTTTAGAAGCTCCAAAACCGAAAAGTCATAAGACTTCGGCCACACCCACAAATATTTGAGAAGCAATAAGAAGCTTGGTTAGTGTTTTTGGAGTCAAATATGACTAGATCTCGTGTTTATGATTGAGTATAAGAACTAGAACCGCAACTGGATCCCAAAAGCTAAAGTAGTGTTTTTCCATTTAGAAGCTCCAAAACCGAATACTCATAGGACTTCGGTCCACACTCACAAAAATTTGAGAAGAAATAAGAAGCTTTATTAGTGTTGTTGGAGTCAAATATGACTAGATCTCATGTTTATGATTGGGTATAAGAACTAGAACCGCAACTGGATCCTAAAAGCTAAAGTAGTGTTTTTCCGTTTAGAAGCTCCAAAACCGAAAAGTCATAGGACTTCGGCCACACCCACAAAGATTTGAGAAGCAATAAGAAGCTTGGTTAGTGTTTTTGGAGTCAAATGTGACTAGATCTCGTGTTTATGATTAGGTATAAGAACTAGAAACGCAACCGGATCCCGTAAGCTAAAGTAGTGTTTTTCCGTTTAGAAGCTCCAAAACCGAAAACTCATAGGACTTCGGCCACACCCACAAAGATTTGAGAAGCAATAAGAAGCTTGGTTAGTGTTTTTGGAGTCAAATGTGACTAGATCTCGTGTTTATGATTAGGTATAAGAACTAGAAACGCAACCGGATCCCGTAAGCTAAAGTAGTGTTTTTTCCGTTCAGAAGCTCCAAAACCGAAAACTCATAGGACTTCGGCCACACCCACAAAGATTTGAGAAGCAATAAGAAGCTTGGTTAGTGTTTTTGGAGTCAAATGTGACTAGATCTCGTGTTTATGATTAGGTATAAGAACTAGAAACGCAACCGGATCCCGTAAAGCTAAAGTAGTGTTTTTCCGTTTAGAAGCTCCAAAACCGAAAACTCATAGGACTTCGGCCACACCCACAAAGATTTGAGAAGCAATAAGATGCTTGGTTAGTGTTTTTGGAGTCAAATATGACTAGATCTCGTGTTTATGATTGGGTATAAGAACTAGAACTGCAACCGGATCCCGTAAGCTAAAGCAGTGTTTTTCCATTTAGAAGCTCCAAAACCAAAAACTCATAAGACTTCGGCCACACCCACAAATATTTGAGAAGCAATAAGAAGCTTTGTTAGTGTTTTAAGAGTGAAATATGACTAGATCTCGTGTTTATGATTAGGTATAAGAACTAGAAACGCAACCGGATCCCGTAAGCTAAAGTAGTGTTTTTTCCGTTTAGAAGCTCCAAAACCGAAAACTCATAGGACTTCGGCCACACCCACAAAGATTTGAGAAGTAATAAGAAGCTTGGTTAGTGTTTTTGGAGTCAAATGTGACTAGATCTCGTGTTTATGATTAGGTATAAGAACTAGAAACGCAACCGGATCCCGTAAGCTAAA